GCGGCGCGGCGCGCCGCGAGCGCCCGACACAGCTGACCGTCTCATTACCACCGCATGGGTCGCTAACTATTTTATCTTACAACATAAAATTATGCTTTAAATAAAATTTTGGTAAAGAAGAAAATATCTCAGAATTATGTCAAGAATACGTGTTTCTTAAAATAACGTCACTTTAACAAAAGTTGTTTCATGTTTTCTACCGCATTCGCAATGCGAAGGTTTTAGAAGATCGTTCGTCTTATCTCGCATCGATCACGCGCCACGCGCACGTCGTAACTTGCATGTCGCTACATGTCGAGTACATGTCGCGTTTCTCGGCGGCGCTAGGCAACGTAACAATGTGGTCGCGCAGTCTCCGCGGTCCGTCGCTAAATAATAATAACCGTGCAGCAGTTAACAATACGTAGCATGAAGATTCGCTGTGAGTGAGCAGGTGAGTGAACAGGTGAGTGAGTAAGTGAGTGAATGAGTGACTGAATGAGAGAGTGTATGAGTGTTGTGTAAAAGAGAGAAAGAGAGCGAGAAAAAAGTGTATGCGTATGTGCGTGCGTGTGTATAAACGTCTCTCCCTGCTTCCCTCTCTCTCTCTCTCTCTCTCTCTCTCTCTCTCTCTCTTTCTTTTACGCACATACACTCCGCCATACACACAATGCGTTAGCAATCAGCTGATTGCAGTGTCCGACGGCCGGCGATCCGCAACAACTTTTGTTAGAGTGACGTTATTTTAAGAAACACGTATTCTTGACATAATTCTGAGATATTTTCTTCTTTACCAAAATTTTATTTAAAGCATAATTTTATGTTGTAAGATAAAATAGTTAGCGACCCATGCGGTGGTAATGAGACGGTCAGCTGTGTCGGGTGCTCGCGGCGCGCCGCGCCGCGTCGCGCCGTGCCGCTCCTGCCTGCCTTCTGTACTCGACGCGTGATTTGCTAACTATTTTTGCTTATAACTCAAAAATTACGCTTCAATTCAAATTTTGGTAAAGGAAAAATCGTCTTAGAATTGTATCAGGAATACGTCATTTCACGGACGGAAGGTTGTTCCGGAACACCCTGTATATAGCATGTGTCTCATAATTTTCAGTTGGCGTCATTCACTGGTAACTTTGGGCAACTTATACTATCTCTAACTAACTTAATTATCCACTACGTGTACTTGTTTCTAGCCAATTATACTGCACAAGAAGTAACAGATCACAATGAATATTTGTTTGCTACAGTGTAAGAAAATTTCAATTTTATATACGAACGTATTTACTTTGCAGATACTTAATATACATCAAAATTAAAAAGATTTCTGATAAAGTTGATAATTAAGAAAAAAAATGCATATGTATATGTATGTGTTTGTTTGTGTATGTGTCGGTGCGCGCATGTTCACATGCATGTGATAAAATATTTATTTACACATTTTAACTAACTAAAATTTGTTCATTTCATTGTTCTGTAGATATAACGTCCGTTGGTATATGGCTCCAATACATATACAGAAAATTATACTTTTTCTGCTGCAAAGAGGTACTAAAAGTTTCCATCTGATTCTCGGTGGGGTATTTGTAGCGTCCTTGCAAAGTGCCGCTTCGGTGAGAAATATATACATCGCAGATACACAATGTATTACTATTTTCTCAATAATATATAATAAGTGAATGAAATAAAAAAAAGATGCATTTTATTTTAGATAGCGAGCGCTTCCATATCATATTTCACCGTTTTTTATTCTACCCGGCAAGAATAAAAGTATGGTAAAACAATTTTTAATTTTTTTGAGCCGTTGGGGCAAAAAAAAACACGTATCGATGTCTTCGTTGTTCAGACGTAGTATTATTATTATCCTCATAAAGAAGACAAAATCTTTGTTTAATAAAAGAAATTATTGTTTTAGTTTAATGTATGAGGTTTGAAGTGTAAAATTAAACAATATGTAATTTAAATATGTAAAAGAAATGTGATATAAGTTATGAAAAATTATTTAAAATGCAAGATAATATTTTTACTCCCGACTGCTGCCAACCGCAGGTTGGCAAAAAACGGAGGGAGTATGCGTTTCACCGAGCTCGGATCGGTTGTCCGAATAATTCTCGATAACTACTACATAGTTTGATATCATCTTTTGCTCAAAAGCTTCTTATTAACCAAGGAAGGTTTAAAGCGTATAATTATCGTTATTTATGTTGTTAATAAAAAGTGAAAAAACAATATGGTCTCGTCTACGCGTCCTCTCATTGGCTGCCGAGTGTATCTAAGAAGCAAAATGATTCACCAATAAGATTCGTTCTGAGCATCTGCATAGGAAACTTTAGTAACTTACTGAGGACATCTCAAAGTAATCGTGGCGGGAAAAAATAGGTTAGACATAATCATACGTGTCAAGTGTCAGTTTTTGTTGTTGTCAAGTTTTTTTTTATCAAGTTATTATTAAAAAAATGGACATACCTCAACAAATTATTAGACAAGTAAGTTTTTTCATTATTTATTTAATTATTTAAATTATTTAAATTAAATTAAATAATATATACATATTTATTTAAATTAAATAATATATATATTTAATTAATTATATATATACATATATACATATATACAATTATTATATATCTGCATAGCTACAATTTTTTTTTTTAAATGTTTTTTTGCTTCTATTGTTTTTTATTGTTTTTTTTATTAATTTATTTTTTTATTATCTTGCACTTGTTCCGCCTTTTAGACTTTTTGCCCATGCCAGTTTTTGATCAACATTAGTTAATCTACAATTTATTTTAATTTTAGTTAATTGGACCGAAACCACTTTTTCTTTAAAAATATCATAGTCCCTTGAAACTAAAAATTCAGTATTAATAATAAATTATAAAAGAAAATATATATTTCTTTTCCTCTTTCTTTTTTGATCCCTCTCTCAATTATTTTGTAGACAAAAACTTATCAATAGATAGAAATGTAAAAATGTTTCTAAAAATGCGCAAATGTGCATAAAACAATACTCTTCCCAATAAAAATTTTATATTTAACAATAATTGAAAACACTGGTCGACAATATGAGACTTTTTTTGCCTTAAGTTCTATCAAGTTATTTTTGGTAGATATTTTAGTGCTGATTACGAAGTTGGCCGTAAAAATGATGTATCATGTCAAGTTTTTGAGAAAATCTTAATCAAAGTTACTAAAATAGGCGTTTTTGATACTTTTGTTTGAGTTATATCTGTCGATGGGGATGTGCTCCAGAAAGTAGCGACAGCGCAAATGTATCAAAAATGCCTATTTTACCAACTTTGACTGAGGTTTTCTTAAAAACTGGACGTGATACGCCATTTTTACGGCCAGATCCGTAATCAGCGCTAAAAAATATACCAGAAATGACTTGAATCGATTCGCGGGGAGAGGAACGCAAAGATATGATGCTTGCATGGGCGTAGGAGAGGCATAGCGCGAAGTACGATAGAACTTAAGATAAATTTAGTATTGATCAATGTAATTAATAAAATTGGTGTTTTAAATGGAGCAACTAGTATATTTCTCTGTAGTGTGTTCCTCTGATTGATTGCAATTTATGAGTGAACGACAGAGAATATAGCGCGTTAAAGTATATCGGTGTAAAACGTCAAATGCGCATTTGCTATCAAGAGAAATTTTCTCATGAAGTTTTTCTTTATGGGAAGTAAGCATGTGTATTTCCGCCAGCGCGCGGCGTCGAAATTGCGATCGCATAATTATACTTTTTTTCGCGAGGAAGGGTGAATATTTTCAAGTGTTTCGATCTCACGGTGATATTACATATTGCGTTGCATTTACATCAAATTGAGCAATTTGCATTAAAACTTAAAATAGTAAAATACAGCTATAGCATAACTAAATTGTTCAAATAAAAAAAAAAGATAAATAAATCAATTTTTTGCATTGTCAAAATCGACGTTTTCGAAAAGATAATCTGCATCAATTATTTGTATTTTTTTGAATACTTACTATATGCTTTTCTCATCAACTATTGTGTAGGCAACAAATTATATATTACAATAATCATGTATTTGCTATTGTGTAACAAAAATTTTTAAGCGAAATTCACAGATTAAAATAATTACGATAAACGACAAAAAAAATCCATACAAAATAAAATTCTTAATAGGCAAAGGTAAAAAATGCTTTTTTAAATAAATATGCGTATTCGAAAGATTATTTATTAATTTTATATTCGTCAAAAGTTATGGGTTAGGTCATTATTTTGTATGTACAATGTTCAATGATCTATAGCTCCTCTATATATACAGATGCTGATACTGTGCGTGTTATAAAAAGAAAACAAAAGAAACTAATTGTAAAGTTTTTGAGCACTTCGTAGTTATTGGCAGAGTGCTTATAGAATCCCTAATGGGTTTTGCAACAGGGATAATTTGTCGAAATTTATTCAACACAGAGTATATTTCAAACATTTAAAGAAGATATTTCTTATTGCAATTGGTTGGCGGGTCAGTTTTGAACTTTATATTTCTTTATTCTACGAAATAATAATATATCGAAATTGATAGATTAATATTATATAGGCGATATAGTGAAGATTCAATATATGTATTATATGGATATATGAAATAGATAAAAAATATAATAAAGTTGCTCAAATTAATACAAATTCGATGAAAATAAATAATTATTCACCTTTCGTTAGATTACATCTTTTTCCTTAATGTGATATACATAATGATCCATCAAATGCTATATAAAAATATCTCTATACAATATATTTAAAAGATATATAGAATTTAAAAAAATATATTCATGGAATCTATTATTTAATTTTGATGTTTTTGGTAGCAAATAGAAAAAGCTTTAGAAAACTAAAAAAGTTATTAAAGAATATAAGAATTTAAACAAAAAGTACACACTTCACTAAAATGACTTTCATTGAAGAATAATATGCTTTGAAAGTACCACTTTAAACACGCTGACGTGCTGATATTCAGCACAACTTACAATTAGACGAGTGCTTTTCAGTAATGTATATGACAGAATGAAACAGATGCGTTATAGAAAAGTAGCTTTTGTTTTTTCCAATACTTCAAAATCGCACATTTCTGGAACCAGAAGAGAGCGCCACAAAAATTCAAAGCGAATATTACTTAAGAATGTATCCTCTACAATAAATGTAAAAATAAAAACGATTTGTGAGGTGTAAGTTAATCCGAACATTTACCTAACTTTTGAATGTTGGAAAAAAAACGGTATACAATATTGTTAACATGATAGTTAAGGAGTTCGCTGAATCAACTTCAAGATGTGTATAATGAAATAGAAGACAAAAATGAAATCGCTATTATAGAAAAATACGGAAGCAGAGCGAAACGTATTACAGTTGGACTTATATGTAAGATAATATTTCTTGATCTTTTTTTTATGTTCTAATATCGTTTTATATTCAAATAAATAAATTGCATGAAAAACCTAAAAAATAAAAGAAATATACTTATTGATTAATATATGATTATTTTGAAACTTTTCTTAGTAATTGGGATATTCTGCCAATTTATTTTTGCTTTACTATATACTTGGCCGTACATTTTGATTTTTACAAACAAATCTCGTTCACATTCTTCGTCGTATATAGTAACAGAATATTTTATTGATCAAGAAAAATATTCCTATTTAATTATGCTGCATAGACACGCAGCAGGTTTCATCGGCACAATGGCAATGACAGCGACAGGAACTATGCTCATAACATATCTTCAACATACTTGCGCAATGTTTAGTATCGCCAGGTAAATAAACAAAGTATAAATATGTACAACAAGATAAATAACATGCTTAAACAAACCATATAATTACTGCGACAAATTATTTACAGTTACCGTATCGAGCAGGCAATTGGTATTTTACAAAAAAGTGGTTTCAATAATGAGCAAAAGAGTTGTGAAAAAATAATTTGCGCTGTAAACATTCATTGCAAAGCTATGAAGTTTGTATTATTCTTATGTTAATAACAAGTATCTAAAATGCACATAATAATATAATCTTTCTTATATTTAAAGGCTTAGCAACTTTTTAATATCCAATATTGAAGGATCGTTCTTTTGCTTGATAGCGGCTGGTATGGTTTGTTTGTGCTGTAATCTTCTTCGGGTAAATTTCGTGTACAAATTCTTGCACGAACAGTGTGCCACTTTGTAAAATTACAATTAGTCAACAAACGCGCATAGATAAAAAAAAATAATAAAATGGCTTTCTCTCTCTATCGATATATGGGTTAGAAAATTACAGAATTAATTGCATGTGCTTATGTTCTATTACAAGTTTAAGCTATATTTCTTTACACAACATACACGCACATGCCTTAGAAAATTATGCAAAATCTTGCAATTATGTAAGCTATACAATAAAAAGCGACACATTACCAAACATAAACTTTTTTATTGACATTTTACAATGTGCATAGAACAATGTGGTGCGTAAGTAGCCGATGATAAGCACATAACGTGTGTTTCATAATTTTCAGATCGCGTCATTGACAAATAACATTGAACAACGTTTACTATCTCTAACTGTTGTAATTGTCCTCTATATGTACTTGTTTCTATCCAATTACACTGCACAAGATATAACGGATCACAATGAATATGTGTTTGCTACAATGTAAGGAAAATTTCAACTTCATATACGAGTGTATTGCAGATATTTTTAATATAAATCAAAATTGGAGATTTTTGATTAAGTTAATATGCATTGAAAAAGAAACAAATATGCATATGTATATATGTGTGTATATGTATGCGCGCGCGTGCATATAATAACAAAAATTATTTATAAATTTTATTTAATTTGAATTTTTGCATTTTATTATTTCGTAGATATAACGTCCGTTGGTACATCGCTCCAATACGTATACAGAAAATGATACTTTTTCTGCTGCAAAGGAGTACTATAGATTTCAATCTAATTCTTGGTGGAATATTTGTAGCGTCTATGCAAAGTGCCGCTTCGGTAAGAAATATATGCAAATATATTGCACATACACAATGTTTTGCAATTTTCTAAATAACATGTAATAACATATGGAAACAAAAAAAAAACACATTTCATTACAGCTGGCGAGCACTTCCATATCGTACTTCACCGTCCTTTATTCTACCCGGCGTGATTAAAAATACGATAAAATAATTCTCTATTATTTTAATGCAATTAGACGTATCGATTTTCCTTGAGATTTAGATGTAGCATTATTATTATTTTTGTAGAATAAACAAAATATTTATATTAATAAAAAAAATTATTATTACATTTTAATGTAGAAGTATTAAAATTATAGTATCTAACGAGAGAAAGAGAGAAAGAGAGAGAGAGAGAGAGAGAGATAACAATATTGAATAATTTTAGAAAAATTATATAAAATGAGGGATAATATTTTTATAGGTAATATCTTTTATTGGCCAAAGCGCAATTAAAAATTGTATTTTATTTATACCATTATTTAATTTTATAAACGTTGTTTAGTTATTTAAAGTTTAAAAGAGAAAGTATTCTGTAATAATATCAATTAAAGTTCGAATTTTCTAAATTTGAAACTGAAGGCTCAACATTACTGATAAACTATTTAGAGAGAGATAATATGGGGTAATTACGATAATTACTGCCCCCTATTTGAAAGGTCGTTTCTGATGACATTTTTGACGAGGAACACGGGAAAAATAGTACAAAAAATTTCCGACCAATAGTTTTCGAGATATATCACTTTAAAGTATTGGACATAATAATAAAACTTTATAAAAACGGACCCAACGATGTTGACCTTGACATATGTTGTCAAGATTATGATCCTAAGTAACTTTTCTTTATAACTTAATTGGCGGTCTCTTATAATTTTTGAGATATTTAAAGTTAAAGTTTAATTCGAAACGAAAATTTGGTTTGGGTTATATAACGTAACGCAATAAATCAGAAATTTAGGTTAGTTTTTCTCGGGGTGGGGGTGCAGGGAGAGGGGCGACGCCTCTCTTCCGCCTACGCGTACGATTTTTCTAGATATAAATAAATAAATGTGTTAAGAAGATATTTTATAAAACCTACATAGTGTTTGAAAATTATATATATTTATATGTAAACATAAATTAAACAATAATTCAAATAAATAAAAAAATTAAACAAATTTTAACATAAAAATTTTTAATTAACATATGTCAAGGTCAAGGTCATTGGGTCCGTTTTGTAACCATTTATTATCATGTCCAATACTTTAAAGTAATATATCTCGAAAACTATTGGTCGGAAAATTTTTTTACTATTTTTCTCGTGTTTCTCTTCAAAAATGCTTTCAGAAACGACCTTTTAAAAAAGGGGCCGTAGTTATCGTAATCGTGCCGATAATATTTCTATATCTCTCTATTTCTTCATTATTTTACAAGCAAAAGCTTAGTTAATCAATAGATATAAATATGAAATAGTTTGTAGGAATGCGCAAATGTGCATAAAATGATAGTTTGTTCAATAAAAATTATATATTTATCAATAAATTAATAATTAATACATCTGCGATTTAAATGGAACGGCGGGTTATATTCCTTTGTAGAATTGACCGTAACTGACGAGTGCACGCACTAGAATGAAGCACGTTAAAATACATCGCTGCAAAGTATTAAATGCGCATGTGCGGCTTTTTATCGAGAGAAATTTTTTCATGAAGTTATTCTCTATGGGAAATAAACATATGCTATATTTCCGCCGGCGTCGAAATCGATCGCTTAATTATATACTCTTTCGCGAGGGAAGGTGAAAATTGTCAAGTGTTTCGATCTCACGGTGATATTACATATCGTATTTACATTAAATTAGCTATTTGCATTAGAGTTTAATATAGTAAAATAAAACTATAGCTATAATTTAGTTGGCCAATCGAAAGAGGGGAATAAACAAACCATCAGTATTTGTTTTTGCATTGTCGAACGCATTTCGATGCTCGCGGAGAGATGATCTGCATCGACTCTCTGCACATCAGTCTTAATCGAACTCTGCTACTTTCGATTGGTCTGTGGCCTTATCAGCAATCGAATCTCGTTCGATTTCAAATAGTCCTGCTTTTTGCTATTTTGACGACCTGCATTATATTTCAGGTAAGTCTACATTTTTAATTGTGTTATTATGTGAGAAATAAACTAATTTACCACTAGTTTTATTTGTTGCTATTTTCCATCTTGTATTTGATTGTAATTATATTATAAATATAATATTGTCATTATTCGGTAAAAGTGACGTTTAGGGGATGCAGCCCCGATGACCTTGACCTTGACATATGTTGTCAAGATCACCCTCCTGAGTGACCTTCAGAAGATTTTAGCCGTCGCTCGTTTTTTATTAAAAAGTTATTAACGGAACCTATTGTATCCATGCATATACTTTTTAAAGCAAAGTGAGATTCTACATGGGTTGTACATAAGTTAAATCTCGCTTTGCGTGAAAAGTTGTAAACCCATGTGGAATTTCACTTCTCATTAAAAAGTATATGCATAAAACAGTGGGTTCCGCCCCCTCTACGGCGGGGCTCCACTTCCAAAAAAAAAACCTAAACCAAACCTATTTCTAATTTAATTTTTCTCTATCTTTAAAATATAAGCTTCGTAATCCATGCCGACTGCCATATAAACAACATATAGTGAGTAACATACTAAGTAAGAATATCAAAAGAAATCAAAACAAATCAGTGTTTGGGAATGTAATGAATAATGTTTGTATATAACACGTATCTACATCACCAGTCTCAGTATGTCATATAGTCGTGTATCAGTCAGATGGATAATTTCAAGATTTCCTTAATTTTCAACATGCATTTGCACGAATTTATCAATTTGACATACAATTTTGATTTTTTGTCGAATTTTTTGTGTGAGATGAACTTTTTAATAAAAAACGAGCGACGGCTAAAACCTTCTGAAGGTCACTCAAGAGGGTGACCTTGACAACATATGTCAAGGTCAAGGTCATCGGGGCTGCATCCCCTAAACGTCACTTTTACCATAAAATTATATTTATATATGGAAAAAATTTTTTATTTAATTTTACGTATGTATATGTACATGTATATATACATATATTTGGGAACAATATTTAACGTTATTATTTATTGATCTAGGACATGTACTTGTTTAATCAAATAAAAAAATAATAATTTTAATACAAATAATTCAACTATTATTTACAGTTTACAGCATTTCTTACTTCAAAATGTACACTGGATCTTTTTATTAATGTTTTCTCTTCTGCATTATCTCTTCTTCTTTTTGTTATTCAATACACTTGGTTTCATCGTAACATTAAAATTGTAAGTAAACCATACATTGCATATCATATTTTTGTGTATACACAGATAAACATTTCCAATAAATAAATTTTTATACATAGTATGAATACATCTTTTTTTCCTGAACTTTACAAAATATTGTATAAAAACGACAGGTGAAGTGTTTGTTGGAGCAATTGCTGAACATCTGTAACGACTTAACGGATGAAAATGAAATCAGTATTATGAAAGAATATGGCAGTTATGCAAAACGTTACACGGTTGGATTAATGCGTAAGACAATTGCTTTCGGCTTTCATTAAAGATTAAGTGTATATGTTTTGTTTAAAAGATTAGTAAATTTCTGAAGTAAACTTTTTCAACAAGTGTGTGTATTACTGTCTCTAAAACGTTTTTTAGTGATTGTCATAATCTTTGTATTCATTCTAATTTTGTATCCATTCTGGCCGCACATTCTCGACATCTTATTATCTACAAACGAGTCTCTATCACGTCCTCCGCTGAGCGGGATGTTTGTTACCGAGTATTTTGTCGATCAGAAAAAATACTTCTATTTGATTTTATTACACGGAAACGCGGCTCTATTCATAGGAATAGCCACAGTACTAGCAACAGGAACCTTATTGATAGCTTATCTACAGTATGCCTGCGGAATGTTTCGAATCGCCAGGTAATTAGATAAAATACAGAAACTATAAACGTGAAAATTAAAAATTTGGAAGAATTATATAAGGTGTCTTACATTCTCCGTACACTTTGAAGCATGTTCTAGAGATAAAATAGAGTCAAAAATTCTTATACAAAAACTTTGAGGCTGCAATTTTTGAGTTATAAGTGATCAAAGCTTGCCAATGATATCGCGTAGAATTTGCGCCGTAACTACACTTACACGCATACCGATCTGTCATCTGTTATTGATTTTTTCAAGTCAGGTGATATTGATTTTTACTGCACAGCTAATTTTATTTTGTGATTTCCTATGTATGTATGTATTACGCATACATCGTACATTATGGCAATAGGATAATATAAATAAATTATACATCTTATACGAAGAAAACATTTAATTTTTAAATAATTTAATTAAATTATCGAATTATTAAATAATAATCAATTATTAATAATATCATATTATTAATGGAAAAAATAAAATAATTTGTTAAAACCACACAACTTTACTCCTCTTTCAGAACCTGAAAGGACAGGGAAAACATAATAATATTAGATTAGTTTCCACAAATATCATACAATCTTTAATTAAAACAAAAAATTATCTCGTTTTTCAAATGTATTACGTTTTACAATTAAAAAGATTAAAAATTGAATAATAACAATAATAATAAAATAACAATATAATTATTAAATATTAATAATTAATATAATAATTAATATTAATAATATTTTAATAATTAATTATTATTCAATAATTTAATAATTTAATAAAATTATTTAAGAATTAATTGTTTTCTCTCTTCGTATACGATTAATAATTTGTTAATATTATCCTATCGTCATAATGTAGGATGTATGCGTAATACGCACGTACATAAGAAACCACAAAATCAAATCAGCTGTGCAATAAAAATCAATATCACCTGACTTAAAAAAATCAATAACAGATGACAGATCGGTATGTGTGTAAGTGTAGTTACGACGCGAGTTCTACGCAATATCATTGGCAAACTTTGATCACTTATAACTTAAAATGCAACCTCAAAATTTTTGTATGAGAATTTTTGACTTTTTTCCGCTAGAACACGCTAATAACGTATACGGAGGTTATGAGACAATCTGTATATAAATACGACAAAAGAATCGCTTGCAGTTATCGCCTCAAGCAAGCATTTGCAGTCGATACTTTACGAAAGGGCAGTCTACAAAACAAGAATGTGATTTATAAGGCATTGATTCATGCTGTGGATATGCATCGCGAAGCTATGAGGTATCTATAAAACGATAATACGTGCAGGAAGTACGCGTAATGCTCTCTCTTTCTCTTTTTCGAAGATTTTCAGACTCATCGATATCAAAATTTAAAGTAATGTTCTTCTTTATGATAGTAGTCGGAGTGATCAGCGCAAGTCTCAATTTTTTTCGAGTAAGTCTTATCTCTTTTTTTTCAAGTGCACCTATAAATTTGATCATAAAATCAGTTACTCTCGAATTTTCCAATCACTGTCAAATTTTCAGTAGGGTTGCACGAGATATCAAGACTAGTCTTGATATTGTCTTGTCTTGTCTCGAAATTCACAAGACAAAATTAAGACAAGATTTTTAATTAACTATATAAAGACAATATCAAAAGTAAGATTGTCAAGATTATTGGTTTGTAAAAAAAGTTTCTAAAATATGTATATTTGTCTGTGTGTGTACAAACTAAATAAGAAAAAAATCACTATATTATACAAACTTAAAAAATTTTATTTAATAAATAAAAGAATATTGTCTTGTTTTGAGTCTTGTGCAACTCTAATTCTCGCCAACCAGTTCTGTCTAATTCGAAATTTCTTTTAAAATTAATGCGCAGCTCTTACTAAGATTTGATTGCACTCGTACTTTAGCTCTTTCAGGCGCTGACATTTAGATATGATGCTGAGAGATTTTTGTTACCTTTATTAAGCGTGATCACTTATATATCGTACATATTTATAGGCGATTATGTTGCACAAGAAGTTATGGATCACAATAATGATGTATTTGTCACTGTGTAAGAAAAACATCCATATCATGTAATTACGTACGCGTACTCGTTTTGCGGATTATTAAAATAAAAAAAGAATCATCATTACTATAATTTAAAAGAAACAAACATAATAAGTGTGTACGTGCGTGTGACAAAAATAATTGATAAATTTTCTTGTTCTTCTCTAATCATTAATTTGTCATCATATAGATATAATATTCAGTGGTACACAGCTTCCTTAAACATACAAAAAATGATACTGTTCTTATTGCAAAGAAGTACCAAGATTTTCAGTCTAAATATTGCTGGATTGATTGTGGGATCATTGGAAGGTGCAGTTACGGTAAGAGATATATGTGAATCAGAATATACAGTGAATATTTGGTCTAAGTGTGTATACACTTAGTTATTTTTTAAAATAATAGAGTTATATAAAAAATGTATCAAATAAAAAAGTTATTTTAAGAAGATTTATATGTATAATGTGACTTAAACAAAAATTTTAAATTATTTTTTTTTTAAATGTTATTCGTATAACATTTTTATTTTTTCAAATGGAATAATATATTTATTTTACTACAAATGTGTAAAATATTTTATGACAGATTCGATAACGTGCAATAAAGTGAAATAATCAATAATTGTTCATAAAATATTGTCATTTGCTTTTATAAGATATAGATATGAGCGAGAAAACAAAATATCTCTAATAAGAGTGTTTATTATTAATCTTTATTTATAAAATACTGCTAAGAATTATTTATTATTGTATAATTCTTTTTAAATAAAATAATTTTGGTAAATGTTTATTTTTACACAGCCCACCCCAAATGACTTCCGGTGGATCTTGACGTTGACCTTGATCTTTAAGGAGATCAAGATCAAGGTTATTGATCTTTTCTGTCGCTCGGTTAGTAACAAAAAATTATGAAGAAATAAATTTTTATATATTTTTGATTAAACATAGTAATTTTATGCGTGCAATATTGACCGAGTACAATGTTTGATTGGTATATAAGAAGTGGCGGTCACAAATTTTAGTTTTAAATCAGAAATAGATTTGGGTCAGATTATATCTTTGGAAAGTTGAGCTCCCTTGTAGGAGGTGTGGAACCCACTGAGTCCATGCATATACTTTCCCATCCACTTGTGGGGTGGATCTCGCTTCGCGTTGTAAAGTATATGCTTGAATACAGTGGATTCCTCCTTATGGGGAGCTCCACTTCCGGAAGATATAACCTAACCCAAACCTATTTCTTATTTAAAACTAAAATTTGTGGCCGCCACTTTTTATATACCAATCAAACAATGTACTCGGCGTCAATATTACATGCATAAAATTACTATGTTTAATTAAGAATATATAAAAAATGGAACAAAAAAATTTCGTGAAGTCGCCCCTATATCAAAGATTTACTTAATATTTATATAAGCATATCTCAAAAATTATACAGACATTATAAAAATTGTTTAAGTCAAAACTTTTTTTTACTAACCGAGCGACGGAAAAGGATAATGATCTTGACCTCCTTAGAGATCAAGGTCAACGTCAAGGTCAACAGAAAATCATTTGGGGTCGGCTGTATAAAGATAAACATTTACTATAACTTTTATTCCAAATATTTATATGTATATATAACTCTATTATATAAAAAATAATAATAAAAATAATTGAGTGTATACACTTAAATAAAACACTATATATTTCGAAAGCGTAAAATATGTTTAACGAATAAAAGGAATAACAAATTAAACGAGAAAATGTAACTCTTATTACAGTTATTGAGTACCATACTATCATACTTTACTGTTCTGTACTCTATACGGACTTGATGCAAGATGCGTCGATTAATAGTTTAATCAAATAACAATAGTGGAAATAGATAGTTGAGTGATATTAATTATTTATCTACAAAGTAGATTAGTTAACCGAATAATGAATAACACTGTAATAAATATGTAATTGCTAAAGAAATAGAAAAGCATATAAAGTAACGATGTTTACAATAAATTCTGGAAACATGTACTCTTTATCCGTAACAAACTAATAAAGCATATATGTCATATGGAGTAAGATCGAGACACCTTAAAATTGCCTCATCGTAAACTAACAAAGGCAATAGTAATTCCGCCGAGATATCAAACTCTTTGTCTAGAAGTATTCTATGAGAAATATAATAAACATCCACAAATGTCATTGTGTATGTGTGTGAAATCCGCGTATGTATGGAATAAGATCACACGTATAAAACCAGAAAAGAAAAAATTTTTTTTATTAAATGTTGCAAAAAAAAAGTGTGTATATACTCAGTTACCTTTTAAAATAATAGTTATATAAAAAATGTTTAAAATTTTTTTTTGGTTTAAGATCTGTATATATAATAAATAAAAATTTTAATTTTTTCTTTTTTAAATATTATTTATATAAGGTATTTATTTTTTCAAATGGAATAATATATCTATTTTGTAAGGTATTTTATGACAAATTCGATAACTTGCAATAAAAGTAGATAATCAATAACTGTTCATAAAATTTTGTCACTTGCCTTGCTTTTATAATAAATATGAGCAGGGAAACAAAATATTTCCAATACTTTTATTGGATAATATATATATATATATATACAGGGTGAGGCATTTATAATGAGACACCTAAATACCTAAAAAATAAAGCAAGATAGAAAGAAATGTTTCAGACAAAAGTTGTTCGATTCTAAGGAGGTCATAAGATGGTGCCATTAGTTTGACCTTAAAGAGTCACATGAAGGTCACGTAAAGGTCATTTTGAATTTATTAAATGGAACACCCTATATATTTTTGCATGTTCTGGTAGCTTACTTCGAGAGCTTTTCAAAACACTATAATAAAGTATTTTTTTTATTAAGTACTTTTTGAGTTATTTTATATTTTAATCTGACATATTTTGATATAAAAAATAAAATATCTC